CGGCCTCAGCCTGCTTCAGCCTCAGCCTCAGTCTGCCTCAGCCTCAGCCTCAGCCTCAGCCTGCCTCAGCCTCAGCCTGCCTCAGCCTCAGCCTCATCAGCCTGCCTCAGCATTCAAAATGTGGCCCGGGAATGGAGTTCTGGGAAGTCGAAGAGCACGAAGTGGCCTACAGTTGGCTCCGGGCATCCAAAATGTCGCCCGGGAATGGAGATCTGGGAAGTCGAAGAGCACGAAGTGGCCTACAGTTGGCTCCGGGCATCCAAAATGTGGCCCGGGAATGGAATTCTGGGAAGTCGAAGAGCACGAAGTGGTCTACAGTTGGCTCCGAGCATCCAAAATGTGGCCCGGGAATGGAGTTCTGGGAAGTCGAAGAGCACGAAGTGGCCTACAGTTGGCTTCGGGCATTCAAAATGTGGCCCGGGAATGGAGTTCTGGGAGGTCGAAGAGCACGAAGTGTGTGACTGTTTGCTTAAAACGAGCCCGGCCCTGAGCCCGGCCCTCGCTGTCCGGATGCCGCCCAGACCTCCCTTCTGAGTCATCAGATGCTCTCTTTTGACACCACTAGAAACCTATCAGTCTTCGCTGTTAGGTAAAAATCCACTGCACCGCGCAGATTTCGCCGCGTAGATTGCATTACATCGGCTGCCGCGCGTAAGCTCTCTTTTCCTACAAGAGAATACATCCCCCCAAAAGATTATCGCCCCCTCAGTTCGTATTGCAATTCGCGCATGACTATGCTCCATGGTCTATCCGAAATATAAGTTCCTACCATCCCAGCCCAACCAGTATCACCCCCCCCCCGCCATCCTTTGCAGAAAATATAATCCCGGCAAAGCAACCTAACAGCGATGTGTAGGAGCATATCTGGAAGCATTCCCCTTAAGATTCGGATGATAATCCAGTTGTAGAATTCTGCTGTTCTCGTAGTCGTAGTCGCATTCGCGATGACAGTCGCAGTGGCAACGGCAGTCACAGTCACAGCCTCAGCCTCAGCCTGCCTCAGCCTCAGCCTCAGCCTGCCTCAGCCTCAGCCTCAGCCTGCTTCAGCCTCAGCCTCAGTCTGCCTTCAGCCTCAGCCTCAGCCTGCTCAGCCTCAGCCTGCCTCAGCCTGCCTCAGCTCAGCCTCAGCCTCAGCCTCAGCCTGCCTCTGCCTCAGCCTCAGCCTGCTTCAGCCTCAGCCTCAGTCTGCCTTCAGCCTCGGCCTCAGCCTCAGCCTGCCTCAGCCTCAGCCTGCATCAGCCTCAGCCTCAGCCTCAGCCTGCCTCAGCATCAGCCTGCCTCAGCCTCAGCCTCAGCCTCAGCCTCAGCCTGCCTCAGCCTCAGCCTCAGCCTGCTTCAGCCTCAGCCTCAGTCTGCCTTCAGCCTCGGCCTCCGCCTCAGCCTGCCTCAGCCTCAGCCTGCTCAGCCTCAGCCTCAGCCTCAGCCTCAGCCTCAGCCTCAGCCTGCCTCAGCATCAGCCTGCCTCAGCCTCAGCCTCAGCCTGCCTCAGCCTCAGCCTCAGCCTCAGCCTCAGCCTGCTCAGCCAGCCTCAGTCTGCCTTCAGCCTCAGCCTGCCTCAGCCTCAGCCTGCATCAGCCTCAGCCTCAGCCTGCCTCAGCTCAGCCTCAGCCTCAGCCTGCTTCAGCCTCAGCCTCAGCCTCAGTCAGCCTCTTCAGCCTCAGCCTCAGCCTCAGCCTCAGCCTGCCTCAGCATCAGCCTGCCTCAGCCTCAGCCTCATCAGCATCAGCCTGCCTCAGCATTCAAAATCATGCCCAGGAATGGAGTTCTGGGAACTCGAAGACCACGAAGTGGCCTACAGTTGGCTCCGGGCATTCAAAATGTGGCCCGGGAATGGAGTTCTGGGAACTCGAAGAGCACGAAGTGGCCTACAGTTGGCTCCGGGCATCCAAAATGTGGCCCGGGAATGGAGTTCTGGGAAGTCGAAGAGCACGAAGTGGCCTACAGTTGGCTCCGGGCATCCAAAATGTGGCCCGGGAATGGAGTTCTGGGAAGTCGAAGAGCACGAAGTGGCCTACAGTTGGCTCCGGTTATTCAAAATGTGGCCCGGGAATGGCGTTCTGGGAGGTCGAAGAGCACGAAGTGTGTGACTGTTGGCTTAAAACGAGCCTGGCCCTGAGCCCGGCCCTCCTCCCCGGCACCCGCCCAGACCCCCCTGTGGAGTCCAGATGCTCTCTTTTGACACCACTAGAAACCTATCAGCAAAAGCTGTTAGGTAACTACGCGGGCATAAGTTTTCAAGAATCCCCGGCAAACCATGCGACGAAGTGCCGTCGCGCGCGCATGCCGAAATCCTGCAGAAATCGACCCCGAGAGGATGTCAAAATCGAGTGCGTTGTTGTTTGGTGTTTTATAGAACTACACTTGAGAAAACCCAAATCAATGGATGAGTTGAAACGAGATCGATAGTGGAATCGATTGTGAGGTCGATTGTAAGGTCGATCGTGAGACCAGGAGTGACATCGCTTCAACGAGATCGATAGTGAGATCGATCGCGAGATCGCGCATGCGATCTCTAGTGAGATCACTTGTGAGATTGATAATGAGATCGATTGTGAGACGACGGTGAGATCGATCGCGAAGTCGGTAATGAGATCGATGTTGAGACCGATCGATAAGAAGGTCGACCAGGAGCCGGGGAACCCGGGAACCTCGCCGCAAGTCGGCCCGGAACCGGGAACCCGGGGACCTGGAACAGGGAACCCGGGAACCCGGGAACCCAGCCTGCCACCAAAATCGGCGGGGAACTTTCGCCAAATCCTTAAACTTCCGCTAGGGCCCCATCAGTGCAAGCACTGATTGGGGAACTTCCGCGATGACCCCTTCAGCGCAAGCGCTGATTGGGGAAGAAATGTTCCGTAACGCGGCGTTGAAAACAAAGCTTGCGCGCACAATTCTGCCCGACGGGCGCCCCGCGCCGCGCGCCGAAATCATTCGAGCGCCCTTGCGCGCGCGCTGGGGGGGGGGGTGCGATCCGCGTCAAAGAATGACATGCGGGCCGCTCTCGCGCGTCGGCCGCGCACGCATGTCGAACCCTTTCCAAAACCGTCATCGCAGACGCGAAGACACCGTCACTGTCGCCGGTGTGATCAGCATCGGCGCCCGCATTGGCCGCGCCGTTATCGTTTTCAACGTCGCCACCAACATCGCGGCAATCATCATCGCGCCAACCGTTGTCGACGCTGCCGTGATGCCGCGCCTGCCCATGTCACCCACGTCGCTACGATGTGCCCGCCGGGGCCTGCCCTGCGGTCAGCGCTGCCGCGGCCGCGTCGGTCGCGCCGATTTAGCTGGCCGCTGCGCGCGCGAGCACGCGCAGGCCAGCGCGGCCGCAGAGATGCACTAGCCAGCGCCAGCCACTCATCGCAATCGCCGCCGCATGGGTTTAGCACACCAAGTTGCGGGTGGGTTGGTGGGGCGATTGGGCGAGCAGTAGAGTGGCAATTTCAAGATAATAGAATTAAGTTTTATACCCCCGCCAACGCAGGATTATCCGTTCCCGTTTTCGTGTTGCAATTTACAAATGGTTCTGCCCCATCGCCCATCCGAAATATGAATTCGCACCATCCCAGCCGAGCCAGCATCGCCCCCCACTGCGCAACCCTGTGACAAAAATAGTATGCGCGCGCACTCGTTTACCAAACATCATCAGTTTCCAAGTGCCCCTGCAAGAAATGAGAAGAAGTGCGCACGCGCGCGCTGTCGCGCGCGCGTGTCGCAATCTTTCAACAACCGTCGGATTTGAAAGGGCGCCAAGTTCAAGCGTCAGAAAAGCATAAACACATCGTTCCGCAACAAGGGTCATCTCAAAAGGCTCGCGCTCGCGCTCTTGCGATTTTTAAGAGGACCCGAGATTCTCTACACTTCCATGCTTCATGCAATGCTACCAAATAGGGGGGCATTGCTCGCGCATTTCGAAATCGTTTGAACGCCCTTGCGCGTGTGCTGTCGCACGACTTCTTTGCAAAACATGGGACGAAGTGCGCGCGCGCCGTCGCGCGCGCATGCCGAACTATGTCACAAACCAAGTGCCGCATAACATTCAAAACCGGGTATCGCGAAACCATCTAACAACGCATGGCTTCGCAACGTTAATTTTGAGGAACAAATTGTGCGCTCGTGCTCTTGCGCATCCTTAAGAGAACCACGAGGTATTTCTTTTTCTCTTTCAACATTATCATGGATGTCTGACAAACGGGTTTCTCGCGCCGCATGCCGAAATCATTCGGGCGCCCTTGCGCGCGTGCTTGGAGGCGCGATCCGTATCACATAATTCCACGCGGGCCAGTCTCGCGCGTCGGCCACGCGCGCATGTCGAACTCCTTCCAACACCTTCATCACCGACGCGAGGGCGCCATCACCGTCGTCGGCGCGACCATCGGTGCCGTGAGTGGCCGTGCCGTCGCCGCTGTCAAGATTGTCGCCTGCACCGCTACTACCATCATGCGTCCACCAGCGTCGACGCTGCCATGATACCAAGACTCCCAAGTTGCCGACTCGCACTGAAGTGCCCGTTGGAATGTCCCAAGCGGCCAGCGCCGCCGCGGCCGCGTCGGTCGCGCCAATTTAGTTGCCCGCTGCGCGCGCGAACATGCGCGGGCTAGCGCGGCCGCGGACAGGCACCAGCCAGCGCCAAACACTCATCGCAATCGCCGCTGCCTGGGTTTTGCAAACCAAGTTGTGGATGGGTGGGAGGGATGTTATCAAGAAATCGTGGGCGGTGGCCACACGCGTTGCAGGGCAGTCAATTGCACCACGTAGGCTGCACCGCATAAGTTTCATTACGTAGGTTGAACCGCGCAGATTGCACCACGCAGATTGCACAGCGTAGGTTGCATCACGTAGGTTGCATCGCATACATTGCACCGCATATTCTGCACCGCGTGGACTGCAATAACCCTTGCATTCGATGTATATGCATCAAACGTATATCACTTTCATGCCACACTTTAAACATAACTATATCATAACCTTTTTGGGATAGATTCGGGCGGGCCTGTAAGGAGTGCCCCACCGTGTTGCCGGGAATCGCCCACCCCAGCGGCCAGCCCGTCCTGCCAGAGGGCACGTCGCCCGACCTCGACGGCCGCACGGGTTCCCCGTGCCGCGCGGGCCCGAGCCAGCTCGGCAGTGAACTGACGGGGCGGCCCACGCGCCCACACGCCCGTGCCGCGCGGGCCCAAACCTACCCTTTCAGCGCCAGGAGGTCGCTGTCGGCGAGGGGCAGCAGGCGCCCGAGCGATTCGTTTCAGGGGTAGCTGGGGAGCAGCTCGGGGTTACCAGCCTGGAGCATTGTCCCCATTCGTAGGATTGGCACCGCCCGGCTTCGATGCCGATGCCACGGATGGGATCCCCTCAGTTTCCGAGGGCACATCCCTAACATCGCCTGTGGGTTTGGCCTGGGGCTGGGAATCGGGTCGAAGCTGGTCACTGGGCGGCATGTGTATGAGCTTTTGGGCAACGTCCGAGGCCGCCGGCCGCGCCGCGGGCCATGCGCAGAGGGCAACCAGCAGGGTCTCGCAGAGCCCGCGGGCCCGATGCGCAACTGCGTTGTTGAGTGGGCCAGCTCGTGGCTTCAGAGGCCAGGGTATCGCCCGCTCGTCGTGTTTAGGATATGTTTAGTATCCTCTCCCCCTGTATTTCGTCCTCTTCTCGGCTGCAGGCCGTTCCTGCACAGCCATCTGCATTTGTATGGAGGGCGCTTGCGTCGAACAATCGCAGCTTTCTTCCGGATGAGATCTGCCGCGTGGCCAGGAGATTGGACTAGGTGTTGGGCAAACGTCAAGAGCCTCGCAGCCCAAATCATTCACACGTCCACGTGCCCCAGGAGCCTGAGAGCGCGGGTCACTGGTATGTCTACGCATTCGAGGATCATCGTGCAGAACCGTTGGCTCCGAGCATGCTTTATGCATGCATCGCACTGTCCGTGACTGATACTCAACAGGGGGCCCGCCGAATTCAGCCAGCAGAGCGGGAGTCACGGCGAGCCCCCAGGGGACGCTCGCACGCAGTTTTTGCAATCAGTGTGGGGCACGGCTTCGACGAAAGCCAGTACAACTGTTTGTTTTGTTCTCAGGACCATTTTGGTATCCCTCGGGGGGACAGGTGGCCTTTGGAGCCGTCAGACTGCCTTTAAGGACGTATTATCTCCGAAGTGCGGGAGTGGTTTGCCGAATCGAAGTTCCCTTCAACCGTCTGAGGGGTCAGCTGAGGGTCCCTGGAATTCCATGACGCACGACGTGCGTGAGGGTTGTGCCGAGGCCAGCGGATTGCCCCTGGAGGTCCTGGAGGTCCACGGGGCGCGAAATGCGTACTGGGTGTGCCGGCTTGAGACCGCAAGGAGCTTTTTGTTGGGGCAAGTTGAGTGCTAATGATGCACGACGTGTGTGAGGAGCTTGCCGTATGAAGGCTTCAACGGTAGTTCAATTGCCAACCGCCATGAATCTGACATCTCCCAGGAGGCTCGAGGCCCAGGCCATTCGCATGTTTCAGGGCCCCATGAGTCTGCAAGAGCGGATCCCTATTCTGTTAAGCATGCGAAGGGAACCGAGCAGAGTGGATGGGCGGAGTGCGCGAGACCGCTTCGGGCATGCTTTGCGCACGCGTCTCTGTATTGCTGGGGGGGGGGGGGGGGGGTCCTCCTCTCCTCCTCTTCCTCCTCCTCCTCCCTCCCTCCCTCCCCCTTCCTCCTCCTCCTCCTCCTCCTCCTCCTCCTCGTCCTCCTCCTCCTCCTCCTCCTCCTCGAGATCCTCCTCCTCCTCCTCCTCCTCCTCCTCCTCCTCCTCCTCCTCCTCGTGGTTCTCCTCCCATGAGCCCCAGGACGAGTATGAGGAGCACGCTTTCGACCAGGGGCTGCAGGGTTCAGCCGACAGAGCGGGAGTCACGGCGAGTCCCCAAGAGAGGTTCGCAAGCGGATTCGGCAGCCAGTGGGTGTTCGGGGCAGTGGGCTCGAGGAGAGCTGGCATCATTCGCTGCAATGTGTCTCAGGCGCACCTGGGCGTCTCGGGGGGTCGAGAGGTCTCCAGCAGGCGGCCTCGAGGGGCCCAGGAGCCACGAGGTGCAGAGGGCGTCGGCCGAGTCGAGGCTCCCCGGAACCGACGGAGGGGTCAGCTGAGGGCAACTGGGAGTCCGTGCGGCTCGGGATGCTTGAGCTTGGCATCGCTCGGGCGTGTGCATTTTTCCTTCGGCGAGGGCCATCGAGGAGCATCCTTGATCACTTGGCGAACAAAAACATGCACGACACCGAAAAACAAACACAGGGAATGGACGTCCGAGCGATGGCCAGCTTGAGTGGTGTGCCGAATTGAGGTTCTCTTCCGCCGTCTGCAAGGCCAGCGGATCGTCTCTGGAAGTTCATGGGGCACGAAGTGGCTGAGTGGTGTGCCGAACTGAAGCCCCAAGGAGCCGTCTGTGGGGGCAGCTGAGCTCAAATGGTGCACAAAGTGCAGCACGGGTGTGCCGAATTTAGGTTTCTATTTCGCAGACTCGAGCTGCAAATCCCTTTTGTGTTTGTACGTGCCTCAGAGACCCCGGGCGTAGGGTATGAGTGATGAGTGTGGCCAGTTGAGGCTCCCACGAAGAAGATGTGCAAGTCATGTGGTTTTTGCCCCTGCCCATACTCCAGATTTCGTAACAAAAGGGAGGGGGTCTCAACCCTCCCAGACGAGAAGTTTTGGACCCCCCCCCCGTGGGAGAGCCCTCCCAAACATCGTCCCCAGACCCCCCCAGGCCCTCCAAGAGAGCCTGGAAGAGACCCCCCCCCGAAATGAGACCCCCCCATCCCTTTCTTGCGAAATCTGGGGTATCCACCCCGTTTGCCTCTGGTTCGGCCAGGGTCGGCGCCGGCCGCTGCAGTTCCCCTTCTGCGAGCATCTCGGATTCTCCCGGGGGGAGCCGCCTCGGCGTCCCCCCGGGGGCGCCGTGGGGCCCCCCCTTTGCCGGCGGGGAGGCTCGCCGTCGCAGCTGTTATCTTTCCCTGGGGGCAGCCGCGGGACGGGGGCCTCCCCCCCTTGGCGCGCGGCGCGGGCGGAGCTCTTCGCGTGCCGGGGCGGGCCGCGGGGGGCGAGGAAGCTCCCCCTTGGCGCTCGGACTCGGGGGAGCGTAAGACCCGGGTTTGCCAGGACTCGGGTTCGCCACCGTTTTTTGACGACCGCGCCTCGGAGTTTGACGAGGAGGAGTTTCGTGGGATGTCTGCAGCGGGAGGCCTCGTCAAACTGCAGGCTCGGCCTGCCCCGGCATGTTTTTAAGGTCCTTGGTCCAAGAAGATCTCAGGGTTAAGAGATCGGCCCAAACAAGCAACATGTTGCAACATTGTGTCGTGGATCCAACTTTCTATTGTTTAAACAAGTGTTGCTAGTTTGCCTTATCCATAGTTTTTTTGAAACGGTCTTAGACCCAAGAGGATCTAAGGAGCCAGGGACCAATCAACACAACTCTTGTTTCTATATTTTTGATTGGAATGGGGGAGGAGGAGGAGGAGGAAGAAGAAGGAGGGAGAACGAGGACGATGGGGAGGAGGAGGAGGAGGAGGAGGAGGAGGAGGAGTTGGAGGGGGAGGAGGGGGAGGAGGGGGAAGGGGAGGAGGAGGAGGAGGAGGCGGAGCAGGAGTGGGGCCTCTCAGGCGGTGTCTTGAGCCTGTCTTGGGCGGCCTGGGATCTGCAGCGGATTTCGACGGCATTGTCGAAATCCGTTGCGCGGCGTTGGGGCGCTCGTGGGGCGTTGTCGCATCGCTATTGTGGCCTCTCAGGCGGTGTCTTGCGCCTGTCTTGGGCGGCTGGAGGACTGCGACGGATTTCGACGGAATTGTCGAAGTCCGTCGCAAGGTTTCAGGAAGATTTTGACGCGCTGTCACAGTGCTCTTGTGGCCACTCAGGCGGTGGCTTGCGCCTGTCTTGGGCGAGCGGGGGTCTGCAACGGATTTCGGCAAGCTTGTCGAACTACGTTGCAAGGTCTCGGGGCACTCTTGGGGCGCTGTCGGGGCGCTCTTGGAGCCTCTCAGGCGGTGGCTTGGGCCTGTTTTAAGCGAGCGGGGGTCTGCAGCGGATTTCGGCAAACTTGTCGAACTACGTTGCAAGGTCTTGGGGCACTCTTGGGGCGCTGTCGGGGCGCTCTTGGAGCCTCTCAGGATGTGTCTTGGGCCTGTTTTAAGCGAGCGGGGGTCTGCAACGGATTTCGGCAAACTTGTCGAAATACGTTGCAAGGTCTTGGGGTGCTCTTGGGGCGCTGTCGGCGCGCTCTTGGAGCCTCTCAGGATGTGTCTTGGGCCTGCTTTGGGCGAGTGGGGCTCTGCAACGGATGTCGACACAATTGCCGAAATCCGTTGCGCGGCTTTGAGGCGCTCTTGGGGCGCTGTCGGAGCGCTCTTGACGCCTCTCAGGCGGTGTCTTGGGTTTGTTTTCGGCGAGCGGGGGTCTGCAACGGATTTCTGCAAGCTTGTCGAAATCCGTTGCGCGGCTCTGAGGCCCCGAGAGCGAGCCCTCCGACAGCGCCCCATCAGCACCCCAAAACCTTGCAACGAGTTTTGACAATTCCGACGAAATCCGTTGCAAACCTCTGCCCGCCCAAGACAGGCCCAAGACACCGCCTGATTGGCTCCAGGAACGCCGCGACAGCGCCCCAAGGAGCGCCCCAAAAACCTAGCAGCGGATTCCGACAATTCCGTCGAAACCCGTTGCAGACCTCCGCTCCCCCTTAACAGGCCCAAGACACCGCTTGAGAGGCCCCAGGGGAGCTCCGGCAGCGCCCCATCAGCGCCTCAAAGCCTTGCAACAGATTTCGACAATTCGTCGAAATTCGCTGCAGACCCCCAGCTGCCCAAGACAGGCCCAAGACGCCGCCGGAGATGCCCCCAGAGCGAGCGTTCCGACCGCACCCCGACAGCGCCCCAAAACCTTGCAACGGATTTTGACAATTCCGCCGAAATCCGTTGCAGTCCTTAGCCGCCCAAAAGAAGCCCAAGACACGACCTGCGATGTCCAAGGGCGCACCGACAGCGCCCCAAGAGCGCACCCAAACCGTGCAACGAGTTTCGACAATTCCGTTGGATTCCGCTGCGGGCCCCCAGCCGCCCACGACAGGCCCAAGACACCGCCTCAGATGCCCAACGAGCACTTCGACAGCACCCCCAACTACAGATTGACTTGTAACTATACTGTTATACATTCCTATATGCAAATCGTATAACAACATAGTAATTACACGTTATATAGATATATCATTTAACCAGTATACATACATTATGTGTGTACATGTTATATATCATCATGCAGTTATATATATATATATACATATACAAACAAATATTATAGTTGCACCTAGGGGCACACCCCGAAATACAAATTTCACCGGTAGCGTTCGCGCGTGGGTGGAGAAGGATGAGGAGGCTGGACGGACGGCGGAGGGGGGTGACGATGCAGAGGAGGAGGCGGAGGAGGAGGAGGAGGAGGTGGAGGAGGAGGAAGAGGAGGAGGAGGAGGAGGAGGAGGAGGGGTGGGAGTGTGATGAGGAGGGGTCGGTGGGGACGAGGAGATCGAGGAGGAGGAGGAGGAGGAGGAGGAGGAGGAGGAGGGGGAGAAGGAGGAGGGGATTATGAGGAAGAGGAGGATGGGGGTTGCACTGGAGCTGCAAGAGCGCCACAAAGCGTTGCAACGGATTTCGACAATTCCGTCGAAATCCGTGGCAGACCCCAGCAACCAAAAAGAAGCCCAGGACACGGCCTGAGAGGCCCAAATAACGCACCGATAGTGAATCAAAGAGCGCCCCCAAACCTTGCAACGAGTTTTGACAATTCCGACGAAATCCGTTGCAAACCTCTGCCCGCCCAAGACAGGCCCAAGACACCGCCTGATTGGCTCCAAGAACGCCGCGACAGCGCCCCAAGGAGCGCCCCAAAAACCTAGCAACGGATTTCGACAATTCCGTCGAAACCCGTTGCAGACCTCCGCTCCCCCTTAACAGGCCCAACCCACCGCCTGAGAGGCCCCAGGGGAGCTCCGGCAGCGCCCCATCAGCGCCCCGAAGACTTGCAGCTGATTTCGGCAAATCCGTCGAAATCCGCTGCAGACCCCCAGCCGCCCAACACAGTCCCAAGACGCCGCCGGAGATGCCCCAAGAGCGAGCGCTCCGACAGCGCCCCGACAGCGCCCCAAAGCCTTGCAACGGATTTTGACAATTCCGTTGAAATTCGTTGCAGATTTCC